CACCAGTCAGAGTAAGTGCTCTTTGTTATCCCCCCAGCCCCCCCTCCTCCCACGTGGCCACCAAAACTGTGTCCAATAGATTTGATGTTTTCGCAGCCTTTTCTAGATATAAATTTTATTTCTGATCAGTTTTAAAGTCAAAATAGTTATTTGTGCCACAGTAAACTATTCACAGGGTGGTGTTCTCTTTATTCCTTCTTGCCTACCCATTCTCATGGATCTGTTTCTCCTCTACAAGGTGAAGGAGGGAAGCATCCCTTGACATTTCTTGGATCACATTCTGGAAAGAACTGCTGGGTGTGACTAGAGGTGTGTTTCCTTCCCGAGGTCATGCTTGTGTTGCTTTTACAGAGCTATTATTTAGTTATCTGAATACACCAAATTGCAAAAATAATGAAAAATTCCAGCTTTGCCTCTGACTTGTGACCTTGGCCAAGTCATCTGACCTCTTTGAGCCTGGTTTCTTCAGTTGAACAATGCAGATCAAATAGTTTCTAAGGCCCTTGTCTCCTTTTATGTTGTGATTTATAAAATCTCTATTCAGGAACTCAGAGCTGGAAGTGGCATGCAGGCCTCAGTTCTCAACAGCAGAGGGCACAGTGCAACTAGTGTGCCTGGCTGTTAGGTGTTGGAAACTGTCTACAGTTATGTAACCTGAATTGCTATCCTTGATGATTATGAAGAGTCAGGAAGATTCTGCAAATTAGTGTTTTGCGAAGGATATTTCACTACCTGTTTCTAGGTGTTTAATATTTAAGAAATAGAAGATTTTAACATTCTAAGAGTACTTCCTGTAATATGGGAAGAGCTTCATCTCTCTTCACCTCATTTACCCCATCTAAGTATTCCATGCTTAGCGCTGGTGTGCAGATGGGTTGGAGAGGAGAACTGAGATTCACTGAGCATGAATTATATGTCAGGAACCATACCTGATACTTTTGGTACACTTTCTCTAATCTTCACAGCAATCCTTTGAGTTATATGTTATTATCCTTATTTTATATAGAACGACAATGGGGCTCAGAGAGATTAAGTGACTTGCCTGAGGCCTCACAGTAGCAATTCAAGTTCAGATCTATTAACTCCTTAACCTACTTTCTTTCTGTCATATCAGAGTTCCACCCCCTTCCCCCCAGCCTAAACACTTAGGGATTGCTAGGAGCAACAGTGCCCTGAGAGTGGCCACAAAAGGAAGTCTGGTTTTCTCTGTCTAAAGTTCTCATGGCCTTTGTAATTCTGGATGGAATCTTTTCCTCTGGCAATAATTTTTTTTAACATTTACATTTAACATGATATATACAAACACATACCCATGTTTTCAAATTTGAAACCTTTAAAGTGGATTATTGAAATGTTTCTTTGTGGGCTGCTTTTAAAGTGAACAGCAATATCTCATTTTATAAGAATGAATAAGAAAGAATTCTAGATCTAAAGTCAGTGGGTAAGTTGAAAATCATTATGGCAGAATTACCTTTGAGAATACCACGGGAAAGCATCTTGTTTGAGAGCCATATGCTTCCTTTCTTTAAGTCCATCACAGCTAGTCTTTTCTCCTTTGTTGAAACAGATCATGGTGTTTCCTGTTGAGCTTCAAATGATATAGTTGGCTTACAACTGGGGCCTTGTTGGACGATAATTCACATCTTTAAACATCAAAGTGTCATTCAGTGTGGTGAGATGCTTGTAGTATTAGAAATATTCTGCAACCTGGATCAAGACAAGGAACAGCAGACTCATGTCTTATTTTGGAGCTTATGCTAACTCAGTGGTTCTCAAAACATTAGCTGTACATCAGAATTATCTGGAGGGCCTGTTAAAACATAGATTACTGGGTTCTATTACCCACAGTTTCTAATTCAGTAGGTCTGGTATTCAGCAAGAGAATCTGTGTTTTTAACAAGTTCCCAGATGAAGCTGATACTGATATCCAGGGACCTCACATGGAGAACCACTGTACAATGCAAGTGGAATTACTTGTTTATAGTCCTTTCACTGTCTGCCTGTTTCTTTTAGGCTGAGTGGATATAGTTGAATTAGTTTAAGTTAAATGAAGGAATTGTGGCTCAGCCAATTCCTTATCTTGTTGCTGAGCTTACTGCTTCGCCTAGAACATGTCCTTGGCTCATTCAGTAGATGCTTATTGAGTGAGTGAGTAAGTGAGTTAACATATAACATGGGGGTGGTTTTAAGCATACAGACATCATTATTATATACCTGTTCCATACAAACTGCTTATTTTAGTGCAAGGCAATTAGCATTTATAATAGAATAGCTTATATTTTAGGAGTATAAATGGTAACAATTGTGGACATCAGGAAGTATGCAATTAGGTGCAGTGTTGAGAAACTTGCATTTTGGGACCAATGGTGTAAATGTGAAGAGGGTGTGTGTGTGTGTGTGTGTGTAGATAGTGGGTATGAGAGTTCCATCTGTTTTAGAATGACCTAGGAAAATCTTGCAGGGGCTGGTTTAGGTCAGAACTAACTCCTGCCCCAGGGAGGCTGGAGCAGCGCTGGATTAGCCTGTGTGCCCCAGGCCAGCCTCTGCATTCTCACTCCTGTCCCTCCAAAGCACTGAGAAACTCAAACCCTATGATCCTAAAAGCTCAGTGGGCTCTGTATTGGTGGGTAGCTCTGTAAATTCAGATAGTTGTGTGTGAATCTTACCATATTATAGGGTTTACGAATTTTATTTTCAATGTGGTGAGTTTTAAAATGATGAGTAAAAGTGAAGCGTAAAAGAAAAAAAATCTCAAGAATATAAAGTTCAATTTAAGCTAAAAATTGTGTCCTTTTTTCATTTTTGACATGTTTTAGATTATGTCTTACAAAGTCTTAGTATCCAGTATGTTTTCTCTTTCAGTGTAGATTAAAATTTTTCCTTTAAATTTATTTTACTTTTATATGCTGAAGTATTTTCAAGTAAATTACAGACAGCATGACTAGCTATCTCTAAATCCTTCCATGTACAGCTTTAAAAAAGAAAAATGTTTTCTTATATAGCCAAAACAATATGATCACTCCTAACAAAATGAATGAGTCCTTAGTATCATCTAATACCTAGTCCACATTTAAATTAACATAATTTCCCCTAAATTGTCATTTATATCTTGTTTATTCAAACCAAGATATAATCTGGAGTCATGCATTACATCTGGTAACAACATAAGGAATGTTGTTCCTATACTGTTCCTTAAAATTTAATCTAAGACAGTCCTTTTATCAGGACATTGCCTTGCCATTGTCTTGTAAAATGTCCCACCTTTGGATTTGTCTGATTGCCTCATCAGAGTATCTTCAGCTTGTTCTTTTACCCTCTGTATTTCCCAGAAACTGGAAATTAGATCTAAAGGCTAGACTAAGATACAAGTTGAACATTTTGGGCAAGAATTCATCATAGGTGATATGTACTTTGTGTTATACCATGTGATGAGATACATAATCCCTGCCTATACCGCTGTTAGTGATGCTAACTTTGATCACTAGATTAAGGTGATGATGACAGCCTGATATTGTGACAGTATTCTCTATGATATTACTTTGGTAGTAATATGAATGTTCATTTTCCTATTATCCACTCCTTTAATGCTTTTAACACCATTTGATAATTCTTGCCTGACTCAGTAACTTCACTAGGGTTTGCCAAAGTATCATTTTTCTAATTCTGTTCTTCCTTCTGCGTCAGCTGACATTTGACTTAAAAGAGCTCTTTTCATTAACTGTAACTTATTTGGTACCCTGAAATGCAATTCTGTTGGAAAGGCAGGTTAAATGTTGAGTTCTTTACTTTTTTAGTCACATTTTCTAAGTGAGGAGTTGGCTTAATAGATACCCTAAATGGTGGCAAATTAATATTTTTCTTGCTTTCTCTTTTTTGGTATCCTTATGGAGTAATGGATTTTCATGAATTGAATGTTTCAGTCAACTACAATGATTTTTTATGTTCAATTTGTTTTATGTTCAGTTTATTAAAAGTTTAGCCAATGCTAGTCCCTTGCAGTTGGCATCTGTGTTTGTTAGACATAACTCAATTAATTTTCCAGCGCGTCCTTGCTTTTTTGTGCAGCAAGATGCATTGATTTATCTTGTAGCTTCCTTATCCCAAGTATCAGTCAGCCACTTCACTAACAAGCCCTAGTTCCTTTTAGTAGGGAATGGTATTAGACACCCAAATCATAGCCCTTGAAATGTCAATTGTTATTGGGATGACAATGTTTATAGACCTTTTCAGTGGTCTGTTTAGTTCTTGAATTTTGATATTGAAAGTTTCAATAAAACAAAGCATAAATACAAAACAGAAATAGACTTACAGACATAGAATATAAACTTGTGGTTGCCAAGGGGTTTGGGGGTGGGAAGAGATAGACTGGGATTTCAAAATTGTAGAATAGATAAACAAGATTATACTGTATAGCACAGGGAAAAATACATAAGATCTTATGGTAGCTCACAGAGAAAAAAAATGTGACAATGAATATATATATGTTCATGTATAACTGAAAAATTGTGCTCTACACTGGAATTTGACACAACATTGTAAAATGATTATAAATCAATAACAAATGTTAAAAAAAAGTTCTCTATAGGAAATAAGGTGTTGGATCATAAAGGAGGGAAAATAAAATTGTGTTATATTCAGAAAAAAAAGGTTTCAATAATGAAAAAAAGTAAGGAATATCTGTGTTTTGAAAGTAATAGGTTCATATCACTATTTCCAATCCATTTTAACATTATTGTGTTTTTAAGTAGCTACTTGATTTTATAATTGTGTCTTTTCTCTTATATCGAAAATCCTGACCATCACTAACATTGCTTTATCTTACAATAAAAAGAAATTTAAAAATAACAGTATCAGTACTACTACTAGTGAAACCAAATGAAGTTTAATTTTTTGTGTGATTTTTGTAGCATAGGTTGATTTTAATGGAAGAATAGATATAAATTTTTTTTGATCTTTATTTTTCTTTGAAATATGTTTTGTCTGTTTCATTTTTGTCATAGGTTGATCATTTTGGATTTAATACTGATAAAACTTTTAAACAGCGGTACCTAATAGCTGATAAACACTGGAAGAAAGATGGTGGATCAATACTTTTCTACACTGGTAATGAAGGGGACATTATCTGGTTTTGCAACAATACGGTATGTGCAGATTTGTGAAACTCCTCTGCTCAGTTTTCTTTCTATTATGTTTAACAGGAAAAAATCTTTTGTGGTATGTATGACCAAGTTTTTCTGTATTTAATTGTGAAGTTCTTTAAAAAATAACAAAAAGATAAACTCACTAATAATAGAAAAAAAGCAAAAGTACATGAATAGGCAGTTCACAAAAGAATAAATATAGATCTCCAATAAGCCTGTTCAGCCCTAAAGAATTATACATGAAAAGAATGAAATACTGTTTTTGGACAATTAAATTTTAAAAGGTTAAAAATAAATTTCTAGCTTATTTCAAGATTGAACAAGGATGTGAGGGAAATGAGGATGGGAATATTATTATGTGTGAGGCCTGTAGAATATGAACACAAGGGCAGAAATTTTTATTTGTTTGTTTATTTGTTTATTCTCAGATCCAAGACTCTGCTAGGCATATAGTAGGTGCTCAATAAATATTTGTTAAATGGATAAATGAATAAAATCTAAACAAAGCCAGTACAGATAAGAAAAAAAAATACAAGTTTGATTATTAAATGGGAATGGACAAAGGCAAAGTTGTAGCTGTATTTTAGCTTTCCTTTTCTACCATTTTTATTATATTTGTGAGGGTAAAAAACAATGCAGCTGTTAGCTTGCTTCACTGCCTATATAGTCTATCATCTTTTATAATGCTTAAGTCTGTTAACAAAACTTAATTTAGAAGACACATGAAAGGCAGAAATGTTCCTTTTTAATATGCCAGAGCTAAGATTAGAAAATGTCAACTTGCTACCAAAAAGTTAGTCTGTGAATTACCTTAGAGTGGGGACTGAATCATATTTTCTCCACTGCCAATGTCTGGCATGGTGTCTGGATTCAGGAGATCTCAGTTAATGTTGAACTGAACTGCACTGAAAGCAGAGATATGAATCCAATTATACTGTGTTATTGCATTCTGTATTTCTGATTATTTCCTTAGAAATGTTAGCAGTCTAAATATGTTGGTTGAAATTAAAATAATTCCCTAAGAATTGAGATCCTAGATATCTGTCTCTTAGAAGAGTGACAGATGAAATCAGGACTTATTTTCCATCAGGTTCCTGCTCTGTTATTCTGTGAAGCAACTGAGGCTCCTTTGTCTCTCTTTCTCTTTCTTGTGTGATTTCTCTTTTATGCCAGGGCCACAGGCAAAAAATATCCAGTTATTTTCCCAGCTCCAGTTCTTCATCATAGGTAGGCAGCTATTCCTGCCTCCACAGACCCCACTGCTCTGACAGGCACTACAGCATACCTTAAGACTCCTGGGGATTTCTGACCTCAGAAGTGGTAGAAAGGAAGAGCTACTGAGGGTAGGAACAGTTCCAGATAACTTAAAGACAGATCTTGGTACTTTTCCAGCCCTAAACACACCTTCCTTTATATACTAGAATGTTTGGGTTGCATATTCATATATTCTGGACACTGATTTGTTGAGAGCCAGTGTAGCATAGTGGTCAAGAGTGAAAACTTCAGCCAGACAGATAAGGTTCGAATTCTGGTTTTGCCGCTATGGTTTGTGACTTTGAGCAAGTGTTTCTGTGCCTCATTTTTCACATGTTAAATGGGTATAATAATAGTATCCAGTTCATAGAGTTGTTGTGAGGGCAAATAAGAAATAGGAACTTAGAACAATGCTGGCACAGAATGTTATTTAATGTTAATATGTTACATGGACCTCTTTTGAAAAATAGAACTACCCTAAAATAGATGCTGGCAAATAATCACTTATTACAGTGTGAATCAGATACTTCATCTCAAAGCCTGAGGTCAACTCCACAAAGGTCTGGCTGTTTTGATAGTGATCCTTACTCTTAAGAAAGATCCTTACTCTGACCCTATCATAGTCTGGTAGGGTCAGACACCTAGGTAAGCAAATATTGCAACAAAGTAACTGAGATCTATACCTAGCGCAGTGGAATTAGGAGGAGGGAGTGATCCGCAAGCCAGAGTGAGGAAGACAGAGGAGGGCTGGTGTTCCAGGATCTGAAGGTACACGGCAGGGAATGAGCAGAGTGTTATCCTCACCTGCATGCAGCTCTTTTGTTTATTTGTTTATTGGTGAAGACAAACAAAAAGTTTTAGAGGTTCTTAGTCCTTGTTAGGGAGCAGCAGCTCATTAAAAAGCAATAGTGTGCATTAGGAATGACAAATAGTTTTTAATCTGTGCTAAATCTAAATCTAGTCAATTGATGTTGGACACCTATAATGCTTTGTTGCAAAGGATTCTGAGGGTACAACTTAAGGTAAGTGAAAAAAATGTAGTGGTTGATTAATGACCAGCATTATGTATGGAAATAAGGAAGTCTAAATGCTCTTGATTTTGTTCTGGAGCCAGACAGCCTGTGCTTGAATCTTGGCTCTGCTACTTTCTAGCTGTGTATCTGTCACAGGTTATTTAAACTCTTGTGCCTCAGTGTCCTTGTCTGTAAAATGGGGATAATCAAAGTGCCTGCTCTTAGATTGTTGTGATAATTAAGTGAATTAATAAGTAAAGTGTTAAGAACAGTGCCTGACACTTTGTAAACTTTCAATTAATTAATATTAGCTACTGTTAGCTACTGTTTATCTTCAAATAAATAAGATTACTATAAAACCCAAGCGGGTCCAGTACATTTATTTGTACTGTTCTCTTATGTTGTAAACGTCTGTGAGTAGGCAGATATCTTAGTTATCCTCAGCACTTTTCTAGACTCTGGCACAGTGCAGTTTGAAGGCTATTTTAGACATAATGTTGATTCTAAGACAAGAGTGTCGGAATAAGGAGAGTTGGAATGACTGGTGGTTGAGCAACGTGGGCCTATTTTTAATTGTTACACAGTGTGAGACTGATGTACAACAATGAAACAACAATTATATCATTTATCTGTAAAACAAATACGAATTGTGCAGCTTCTCAGATAATCCTTTTTGGTCTGGTTTAACATCTCATATGTGTTGCAAAAAGGTTCAGACTTTTTTCATATCTTGAGTTTACACTGTGAATTTATAAATTCTTCCTAGGGGTTCATGTGGGACGTGGCTGAGGAACTGAAAGCTATGTTGGTGTTTGCAGAACATAGATACTACGGAGAATCCCTGCCCTTTGGTTCCAACTCTTTCAAAGTAAGTGTACTTTTTACTTTTGAGTTTAGAACATTTTCTAATTACATGAAAGAAATAATAGCTTTAGCTTGAACTGCCCAAAATTCCAGTAATTTGTATATAATTTTTCCTTTTTATATAGAATTTGAACAGAATTTTTATATAGAATTTTTTAAACCATATTATTACCATTATGTTTATCAGTCTTTAACTCAGTGTGATGAAGCTAGACGTCTCCAGGTAAATCTTAATCTATGGCTGCAGAGACTGTGGAGGGAACTTTTCATTGTTTAAAAAATGTCAGTAAATAATCTGCTTTGTAAATTATACACTTAAGTTATCCGTTCTACCACTGGAAAAAGTGTAATGAGCGTATATATATTTGTTTAATAAAAGGTGTTTTTCAATAAAATAAGAACAGATAATCTCTATGATTCAGTGAGGTCAACTGGCCACTTGGATTCCCTTCTGGCCTTTCTGTTCTCACAAGGAGCTTTGGCCTTGGTCACAGATCTACACTTAAGAAACCAGGACACTTTTCCCTCAGCAGAGTCACTCATGTACTACCCTTGTGTTTCTGACTTTATGAATTTGCCTCTGTTTTATTACTTACTGAATATTTTTCTTTAAACAACTCACTTTTTAGCCTTAGCATTATCTTAATAAGGGCTTTATGTACTATTTTTAAAAATTATATTAAAATAAAAACAATGATTAAATTTTAAATGTTTGTGCACTACCTAAGACTATCATGCATACCATTAGTATGTACATACTACGTTTTGGAGAACTGAGTTAGAAGAAACTTGGGGGCAACCATTTTCTAGGCTTCTTGTTTTAAAAGGAGTTTTGATTTTTGTTCTCAGAGGTTTTATTATATCGTATTATAAATAAATAAATAAAAAGTCCTTGTGTTACAAATGAAAAGCTGATCAATTTGCTGATATTCATTGGGCTGCACAGGAAACGCCATTCTTTAGCTTATTATTTTGTGTAATTATCTGACTAGACGAGTTGACAGATCCTGAAACCATTGGGAAGTAGTCAGCTTATTGCAGCTAAAAATGTAACTCTTCTCCTAAGTCCCTGTGGTTCATACTTCATTGGCATAATAGAGCTAAGGGCTCTCTTTGATATGCTTCCTTCCCTTCATGTGCTCACAGAATTTGTCAGTAGCATGGGGGAATATTACTAATATATTGTGAGGATTGGGGAAAAAACTGCACTAAACTACATACAGTAGTGCCATGAAAACTGGAAGTGAAAAACAGTGACAGACATGAGAAAGAAGGTAAGAAGTTCTAAAGCATACATCTTAGATTAGGGGGAAGGCTAAAGGAGTGAATGACATACATAGGAAAGAGGAAAGATGGAACTCTTTGGTTCTGAAATGTGCCAGTGATGGGAGTGTTCAGAGTGATGAGACCAAAGCATGAAGGTCAAACAGGATAGCTTAATATGGGTATGTAGCTGTATTAGTCGCTATTGCTACATAATAATTTACCTCAATCCTTAGTGGCTTAAAACAGCATTAAACATTTACTATCTCACAGTTCCTGTGGGTAAGGAATTAGGAGTGGCTCAGCTAGGTAGTTCTGTTTCAGGGGATCTCATGAGATTGTCAGCTGGTGCTTCAGTCATCTGAAGGCTTGACTGGGGCTGGAGGACCCTCTCTGCTCATATGGAGGATCCACTTAAGTGACAAACTGGTGCTGGATATTAGCAAGAGGCTTCAGTTTGTCTCCTCCTGGGTTTTTCCTAAGGCCCACTTGAATGGCCTCATGATGTGGCTGCTACCTTCCCTCAAAGTTGACAATCCAAGAGAGCAAGGTAGAAACTGCAGTACTTTTAACGACCTCATATTGGAAGTCACATATCACTTCTGCCACATTCTATTTGTTAGAGTCAGGTCACTAAATGCAGCCCAAGTTCAAAGGGAGAAGAATTAGGCTTTACCTTTTAAAGAGAGACATCTCATTAGCCTCCTGAGCTGATCAGGACTCTGCTTGAGTTCCACCTCCCTACATTGCAGTGAGGAAATTCTCCCTAAGCAGAGAGCTAGATGATCATGAAATTTACTTGCTGAGTGTCCTTCTCTCAGGGATCAATGTCTTGTGTTGCCTGTATTCCAGTGCCTGAAATAGTTGTTCCGTAGGTTGCTGTTTTCTTTTTTTCCGACTCCAATTTTATAGTTGTACAATAGGCAGGCTAATTTATTTCCAGTTGTTGGTATATCAGACATAATAATCTTTTTGATGAGGAAGGATGAGTTTTATTTTTACTGATGATTCTAACTTCAATTTTCCACAGGATTTAGTTTACCTTTGCCTATATGGTAGCCACTGTAAACGTTTCAAGATTTGAAATAAAAGTTATAACAAAGTAGTTGTCTGTTAGGATTAGTATTCTATTGCATCACATTTGTTGTTAAATGTTACCTACCGTTTGTTTCTGTTGTTTCTACTGCCTCAACAAGGTCTTTGGTAAATAGCATTTAAGAGAAATTACATTTGAATGCAAAATACAGTATCTTTTTCCCCAAATTTTAAGATCAGTTTTTCATAAGTTGTTTTAATCAGCATTGCTATACTTTAACTGGGTGTTTTAGCTCAGTTGCCTAGAAATTCTATTTGGAGAAAAGCTTATCAGGCTTTTTTCTGGAGTTGTGCTATGCCTAAGCTGCTATTATTTGTACATTTATATCCATGTTCTTTGTCATTTTTCTTTAGGATTCCAAACACTTGAATTTTCTGACATCAGAACAAGCTCTGGCTGATTTTGCAAAGTTAATCAAATACTTGAAAAGAACAATCCCAGGAGCCAAAAATCAACCAGTCATTGCCCTAGGGGGCTCTTATGGTGGCATGCTTGCAGCCTGGTTCAGGATGAAGTATCCTCATATTGTGGTTGGGTAAATGCATTTATGTTGGCATGAGCACGTCTTAATAATCGTCAGTGAAAACTTAGAGATTTGTTTTTGGTAAAACATGTTCTATTTTATTATACTGAGGTTTCTAACTTCTGTTTCATTAACAGCTGTTATTTTTCTCACCATTTTTGTTCAATATCAATTTCAATTTTAAAACTTGAATTCAATGAGTTACATTTTTTTCTTTTCTCCTTCTTTGTTCTTCTTACCATTTAGAGCTCTTGCATCCTCTGCCCCGATCTGGCAATTTGAGAATATAGTACCTTGTGGTGTATTTATGAAGGCTGTAACTACAGATTTTAGGAAAAGTGGCCCAAATTGTTCAGAGAGCATCCATAGATCCTGGGATGCCATTAGTCGACTCGCAAAAAAGGGTAAGCTTTAATTAAGAAAATGGAATTGTGGTTTTTTTTAACCTGTTATGTGTTAAACTTAACACTTCCCACTTTTTCAGTAAACTTTTTATTTAAGTATAATATGCATGTTTAAGTATAACGTATAGAAAAGTATACATATCAAAATACACAGCTTGGTGAATTTTTGCAAAGCAAATAATAGTGTAATCAGCATGCAGAATAAGAAATCCCATCAGGAATCCCCTCATGCCCTTTACAGATACTACCTCTGCATTTATCAGGCTAAACACTATCCTGAATTCTAGAACAGTAGATTAATTTTGCTTGCTCTGGAATTTTTTAGTAATTGGAATTGCTTAGTATGTATTTGTTGTCTCTGCTGTCTTTTGCTGAATGCTGTGTTTGTCAGATAAATCAATTTGTTTCATTTAGTTGTAGTTTATGCATTCTCATTGCTCTGTAGGGTTCCATATGTTTATTTACAATAGGGAATGATTCAGAATACTAATTCTGGTAAGCTCCATAAAGGTAGGCAGCTTACCTATCATGGGAATAATTAGGTAGCAACTTACCTATCATGGAATTACCCAGTTACACTAAAAATATTTTGTTGAGTGTTAAAAAAGCACTCTTGGAGAAATTGTATAGAAGATGGAGTTTTATAAAATATCAAGTTAAGAATAAATGATCTGTAAAGCCCTTCTGTTGAGCAATGTTTTTTAGATCTAACAGTGTGATTCTATACTCAGGCACTGGCTTGCGTTGGCTTTCTGAAGCCCTTCACTTATGCACTCCGTTAACAAATTCTCAGGATGTTCAGCATTTGAAAGACTGGATCTCTGAAACCTGGGTAAATCTGGCAATGGTGGACTACCCTTACGAGTCTAACTTTTTACAGCCTTTGCCTGCTTGGCCTATCAAGGTAATAGGAAAATGCCCTTTCATCATTTTTAATAACATACTTCTCTCTGTCTCCCCCCGCCTTCTTTTTTTGGTGTATGCTCTGACTTTCACCATCAGAAGAAGTCCCAGTGACAAAGGGGCTCTGGAGTTAGTCAGACTTCAAACTTAGGCAGGAATCCTGGCTTTTGTCACTTTCTGGTTACTCATCCTTGGACATGTTACCTAGCTCTTCTGAACCTCAGTTTCCTCATTTAAATAATGGAGATAAAGTGCATAAATTACTGGGTTGTATGAATTACAACTCTTAGGACTATAAACTAACTCTTAGAAATAAGACCAATAGTTGCTGTTAATGAAATAATTACTATCTGCCAAATCCTATGCTATGCACTTCATGTAGACTATTTATATATATGAGACACATGAAGCTGTGGATACACTATCAGTGCTTAATAAATGGCAGCTGCTAGCATAGTGCTATGATTTAGTCAACTGCTAACGCATTCTGAGTGCTACATACATCATAAAGGTGTGATCCCCATGCAGCCTGGTGGAGTGGGAAGAGCACTGACTCTGGATCCTTGTCCAGAACTACCATTTACCAGCTGTGTCATCTTGGTCAAGTCTCCTCTTCTTGAGCCTCCATGTCTTCCTCTGTGGAATCAGATGATGATCCTTATTATCTCAATAGGGCTGTGCTGAGGATCAAATAAAATTTTGGATGCAGAAACACTCTGGAAAGTGTAAAGATACTTGACACAATAAATTTTAACTTTCTTTTTATGCCAAAATTCTTTATCATATGTATTCTTTTTATGTATTCCTTTGTAAAGAGCATTCCTCTTAATTTTGAAAGCAAAGGTTGGCCAACTTGATGGTTATTAAATTTAGAGAATATAACAGTCTCTGCTAGAAGGAGTGCGGTAAATGTAGATAGAATTGGTAATACAAGAACCAGGTTTCAAAAGCACTTTTAATTTAACTGTCCTTTTGAACTATTAAACGCACATCTTGCTTAAAACTTTGTAACCCAAGTGGAACAAGGTCATTTACTATTAGAGATATTTTTCTTCATCTAAAAAGTAAAATGACCAGTGAGGGTCTTGCACATAGCAGGCCAGAGGTAAATGTATATTGAATTAAATTGAATTTTGACACTACAGAGTTATTTTAAAGAGCAGATCTCTCTCATACTAAGAAAACCTGGATCAAAATAATGAGAAAAAAATGAATCTGAACCAATTATAGTCTCCATAAATGCCTTTGTGCCAATAATGTCTTATCTTCCTATTTTATTTTACTATTTACAGAACATTTTTTTTTTATTGAAGTATAGTTGATTTACAATGTTGTGTTAGTTTCTGGTATATGGCAAAATGATTCAGGTATACATACATATAAATGTCTATATATATATTATTTTCCATTATGGTTTATTACAAGATACTGAATATAGTTTCCTGTGCTATACAGTAGGACCTTGTTGTTTAGATATAGTAATTTGTATCTGCTAATCCCAAACTCCTAATTTATTTCTCCCCCACCTCCTTTCCCCTTTGGTAACCATAGGTTTGTATTCTATGTCTGTGAGTCTGTTTTTACAAAGCACTTCCAGATACACTACTTCATTTAGTACCCATGAAAATACTGTGGGAAAAAGAGGTATAATCCCAGTTTTATGAAGAAGAAATTTAAGCTCAACTAAGAGGTGGTGAAAGTGGGATTTGAATTCAAGTCAGCCATTGTTCAGAGCCTATGATCTTCTCCCACATTGCACTGAACCAGGAGAAGACCTGACTGAAGATGTGGGTGGATTGCTGGCCACAGTGTGACAACTATAAGATTTAGCTGTGTACTCTTTGTACAAAGTGAGAAGTACATTTGCATCTTTATGCCCACTTGGAGAACAATGGAGTTGTCACAGATAAAAACATATGGGGAATTCCCTTGTTATTTAGAATAGGGGTTGGCAAACGTTATCTGTAAAGGACTAGATAGTAAATATTTTAGGCTTTGTGGGCTATATACTATCTGTCACAACTGCTGAACTCTGTAGCTCTAGCAAGAAAGTAACCACAGACAATATATAAGTGAATGAGGATGACTATGTTCCAATAATACTTTATTTGTAAAACAGGCAGTCGGCAGGCTTTGGCCTGGGGGCTGTAGTTTGCTGGCCTTATTTAGAAAAAATGCCAGAGGAATACAGCTTTTTAGTATTCATTTGTTTATAATTTGGAACAGTGAACAGTCTAACTGGCTTTGTTTTTACTTCTTGTTTCTACCTTTTGAGATATTTTGCTTTTGAATCTTAGGTATAAATGTATTCTATTCTTTCTCTCTCCTAAATAATCACTTAAAATTAGTGGAGCATATCTCAGATGTTTTGTCATCTGTTTTTGATTTTAGCATTGTCTTTCTCTTATCTTTTGTATATATATATTTATTACATATATATATAAAATAAAAGTTTATTTTTAAGACAGGGTAACTTCGTGTCTTTGCCTTACAATCACCTTTTACTTCTTTTATTCAGGACTTGTTCTTGTCATTTACTTCAGTTATTATTATTATTATTTTTTTACCAACTTTATCCCTTTTTTTGACATATTAAGCAATTCTTGATTGCTTATGATATATGTATAATTCTGTTTCCTGTCTGCACCCCAGTAAAAGTATCTTCTCTCTGCTTCTTGCTTTTCATTGCAAACATCTATCTTTAATTTTATACTATCTGATTTCAGAATTTTTCCACTGCATGGCTCCCTCGCAGACTTTTAGCTTCAGATCACTTTCTTTCACTGTTCATTCTGTTTCTCCTTTCTTGACCCCCTCTCTGTTCTCCCAACCCACTAATCCCTGGAACACTACCCAGTTGGGGACCGCTCTTTCACTTGGATAGTTCCATTTAACCAGGGCTCCTCCTCCCTCTGATACACTTCCTCCTTTTTAAAGGGCTGACAAACAGCCGTCCTTTTCTGAGTCTCTAACTCAGGCTTAGGATGGTGAGATAATATGTAATAGTTGGGTTATGAAAAAAAGCAGATGATTTCCAATTCTGCCTAGATCTTGCACGGTTCTGAAGCATCCATAGGCAACAACTGAATGCCATTTTCCGTGTCAACTCAAGTATCATTCTTTTTAATTTATCTTTGGGCTGTGCACACTCAGACTCCATTTGCTTTTGTTTACTGTTAACAGAAGCTGCAACATTCATGCAGAAATAATCATGGACTTGGCTGATAGAACACAAGGAAGAAGAGAAAAGGGAAATAGAAAACCCCCTCTGTCATTTGACTGCTCTGTCAGCATAAAAACTGCTAACTCTTAGTTCTCAGGCTTAAAGAGCAGTTTTAAAGGATACTGTAGAGTTTGTTTATTTTGGAATCATTTTGATAACTCATTAAATCTTTTGGCTTAGCCTTCTGAGCACACAGATAGATATAGTGAAATAATAAGATGTAAGATGGAAAATCTCTTCCGTTTGTCTTGGTGCTTGATAATGTATGCGACCTCTCTGGGTGGTTTAAGCGGTTTAGGTGCATTCTATGAAAAGGGAGCTTTTAATGACAAAACTAATGTGATTATCTGAGTGAGTGTGAGAGGGGTATTGAAACCTTAGAGAAAGAAAATCTGTTAGAAAAGCTGAATGTATCTGCTTAATCCTTTCTCTAATATGGATGGACCATACTCTCTGAGAAGAGATTGGTCTTTTTTTTTAACCTATCTTCTTTCCTCCCTCTTTAAAAACATTTTCTTTGCCTTTTTTTTTCTTTCAAATGCTTATCCTCATAGGTAGAGGGACACTTAAAGCTTTTAAAGAATGTAGTATCTTTACTTTCTCTGATGGTGTGCTTAGGTCAAAGGGCAGAACCTAAATTTGAGTGCAGGGATGATTATTAGTTTGGTACTAAGGTTAGAATGTTCTACTGTCTTCATAATTTCTACACTCTTTAAAACAGAATTATTAAGATGGATTTCTTATGCTCTTGTTACGTTTTTCTTGAATGTTCACCTTTGTTCTAGGAAATAGAAAGTGAATTAGGTCTGTCCATTTCTTGAACCTCATTTCACTCTACTGTTTTACAGTTTTTATTACTGCATAGTAAAAAGTTTTATGATTTTATATTGCCACAGAATCCCTTCTAAGTTTTTACCTAAGACAAATTTAGAAAAATATAAAAATATAAATTAAAAATATAAAAATCGAAAAATTAAAAAATTGTTAAAAAATTTAAGCATGAGACTACAGGTATGTTTAGGTATTGTGTTGTTATTTGTCTCTTACTCTATAACTTTAAAATTGAGTGTGTGTAGTGTAGTAGTAACAAATGGAAGCTTCAGATTGAGTGCAGTTGAATCCCATCTGCTACTTCCTGGCTGCATGGCTTTGAAGAAGTTTCTTAATCTCTTTGTTCTTTAGTTTCCTCACCTGCAAAATGGGGATAATAGTAATTGTAATGGTTAGTCAGGTTGTTATGGGATTTAATAGGAGCTCGTATATAGTAAACACTAAATTAATGCTAGTTATATAATAATAACACTAGCTATAATTGTTATATAATATCAAGGAAACATTGTTATACCAGGACTTTGTAGCCAAAGTCTGGGTTCAGAACCTATAGATACACCTAATTTGTGTATCTATAGCCAGACCCTTCTGAGCTTATTTCCTTCTTTGTGAGATGGGGATGGCCATTATGTTTCTTCCTGGGTCATTGTAGGGAAAGCACATGACCTCAAGGACCATTTAATAGTTTTACTAGCTGATTCAGCTCCTGATGTCCCCATATCAGTGAATTTATGGCATAATTAGGAATGCTGTGCCTTAGGTAGAGGTTGTGTAGAAGATGCTCTTTACTAGCGTCTGCAAAATAAATAGAAAAGATAAGTACAAGGGCTATCTCAGCGTTGAGTATTTTGGATAGAAATGGTTGGTTAGGGACCCTTTCTTTGTTGTCTGATTAGATTATAGCCCCTAAGTAAATAACCAACAGACCAAGTGCTTGCCTCATCAGGTGGACAGTATCTGCAAATGATCAGACTTAAGCTGAAGCATTATAAGAGTTTGAACCAAATATGCCAGTATTTGTATTTGACTTATAAAGATGGCAGTTTCATATGGCTCAACTTAATATTTACATAAGTATTTTGGCATCCTATAGAGCTTATTAAGTATATGACTGTCTCCTTTTGAATTACTACAGTCTTTGAATAAGCATGGGAATAGTGCTGAGGTTTTATTAGCATAATATAAGTATTTTTGCAAAAACTTTATTCACTCCTTCTGGTTACCAAAATTGTTAAGGAAGTACAGTCTTCCCTCAGTATCTGCAGTATCTGCAGGGGGTTGATTCCAGGAGCCCCTGTGGATACCAAAATCCACACATGCTGAAGTCCGTTATATAAAATGGCGTAGAGCCTCTGTATCCGTGGGTTTTCTATCTGTGGCTTCAGCCAACCTTGGATGGAAATTTCCATCCATGGATGCCAAACTCGCAGATACAGAGGATTGAATGTATATTTGTTGAAAAAAAAAAACTGTCTATAAATGGACCCATGTAGTTCAAACCCATGTTTTTAAAGAGATATATAGAGAGTGTCTCTGGCATAAAGCTAGGGGCTGATGCTTTAAACTGACAGAATTGAGTTAGAAAGTAACTTTAGAAACATCTAAAATAACAAAATTGCCTTAGTAAATTTGCAAATATTTTGCAAACAGATTTTAAGTGCTATTTTTCAGTCCTGTCTAGCATACTGGTTGAATTATAAATTGGTACTTCCTCTCTGTAAGGCAATTTGACAGGATGCAGCAAAGGCCTTAAAAATGTTTATTTCCTTCAAACCAGTAATAACCCTAAGAATTTAATCTCAAGAATACAATTAAGGATATATAAAAAAATTTAGCTCCAATGATGTTTATTGTAGCCTTACTTGTAATAATAAAGATTGAGAATGATACAAATGATCAATGTAGGATTTCTTCTCAACTCCCCATCCTGACTGCTCCCCTATGAATTTTTTCATGTTAGTCAGTGTCCTTCTTAAAATGTAGTCCTCAGAACCAGACCCTATACTCTGAGGGTGCTCTGACCTCACAGGGGACAGTGGTCTCAGGATTGCCCCTAATCTGGACATGGAATTTCTATCAGCAGGGGCCCAGTTTCTGACCATGATGTTCTCTCTGTGTAAGTGGGGCTGCCAAAACCCAAGTATTGTCAGCTGGTGCCAGTCCCCAGCCATGCTTGTATCTTTTAGGGAGTGACAGTAACTGCTGTTTGCAGAGATGGCTATTCATGGGGACTCCTTTTCTTTGCCTGACAGAGGCCCAGTGTTCCAGCTCTGAGAGGGGATCTGATGCCAGCATGTGAATCATACTCACTTGTTACTGTTCTTTTCCAGAGTTTTAGGCCACTAGTTGCTGCACCCCGTTTTCTCCCTGCCCAGCTTTCATTGTCACCCTGCCTCATCTACCATGCTGTGCTTGAATATAATGCTCTTCTCTGCATTCCATGGGTCTACTCCATAGTTTCGTGCTGCATTTGGAAAAAGCTAAGTCCACTGAGCGTGTCCACAAGCAGGAGAAGTTGCTGATCGACTGTTGGCAATAGATAAATTAATAAATTCTACGATTGGTTCTTGATTTCCATATATTCTTGAATATTTCTGATTGGCATATTTCTTAGAAACATTTTCTGAGAAAAGTGCTATGCAGTTTTAAGTATTTTTGACTTACCATGAGTAATCAAGAGTTGTCAGAATAGTAAAACAGTCTTTTGCCTTTTTTCTTTAACTTGCATTTTCTTACTGCTTTAGCCTTGATGGGTCTGTGAAGCTTTCAGTTTAATTCAATTTTCTTTCTTTAAACCCTAAATCCTGGTGTATCATATGCTCATGACCTCACAATTACCTTTTTAAGGTATATCTAGTCATTTAGACATCTTAATTTCTGATTTTTCTCACACTCATTGTTTCCAAAAACTTACTGAGAATAATGCACACTCTTACCTCACTTTTGGAAAGTCATAGTGCAGTTGAGCATATTAAAGGCTCTGGGAAATCCTGCAGTTAAGGACACTGTTCACATTTGCTGCTACATTCCTAAAATTATTTGACTGTGAAATCTTTTCTCACAAGGTTTCATTTAACATTCCATAGAAATATTGTTGTGCCAAATACATTTGGGAAGAGGTAATAAAGTTTCCCTATGATTCATTTCCTCCGTCTTTTCAAGTTTCCCTTCTTTCAGGAAGGTGTTGCTGGAAGTTGGTCCTAGACAGAACTGTGATGGGAGGCTGGCTTTGCTTGTGGCCACTCACCTTCTTTCTCAGTGCCTTCCTTTCCTGACTGGGAGCGTGTCCCTAGACCAGGCCTTGTTGGTTCTGCTGCCCAGAATCTCTCTCTGAAGTGGGATAACTGGGCTCTTTCTTTCCTGGCTCCTCCTTCTCTGGACTTATCTCTTTTTTTGTTAGAACTTGCCTTGTGTGTATCTTTTTCCATGTGAAATGAAAAGGGACCAGATCATTGAATTCATGTCATGATGTTAATAAAGGATGGTATATGATCCTTTTAATGTATCATTGAATTTGGCTTGCTAATTTTTGTTGAAGATGTTTACATCTATGTTTATCAGAGATATTGGCCTATAATTTTCATTTCTTGTGATATCCTTATCTAGGTAGATCATCCAGACAGAAAATTAAAAAGGAAACATTGGCTTTAAACAACACATTAAACCAGATGGACTTAACAGATATTTATAGAACATTCTATCCCAAAGCAGCGGAATATGCATTCTCAAGTGCACATAGAATGTTTTCTAGGATAGATCAAATAAATGTTAAGCCATAAAACAAGTCATAATAAATTTAAGAGGACTGAAATCATATGAAACATCTTTTCCACCCACAGTGGTATGAAACTAGAAATAAATTACATGAAGAAAACTGGAAAATTCACAAATATATGGAGATTAAGCAGTATGTTATTGAACAACCAGTGGGTCAAATAGGAAATTAAAAGAGAAATTGAAAAATACCTTGAGACAAATGGAAATGGAAATGTAACATATCAGAATTTGGGGATGCAGCAAAAGCACTTCTGGGAGGGAAGTTCAGAATGATAAATGCCTACCTCAAGAAACAAGAATAGTCTCAAATAAACCTAAATTTATACCTGAAGGAACTAGAAAAAGAAGAACAAGTGAAGCCCAAAGTTAGTAGACTGAAGAAAAATTAAAGATTAGAGCAGAAACAAATGAAATATAGATTATAAACTTCAGCTTTAATATCATTATCGAGAGTTCAGTATTAGTTTATGACTCTTTGAGGTAAAATTTATATACAGTGAAGTGTACAAAATCGTAAATGTTCTGTTTGTTGTATAACCCAGACTCCTATGAAGACAAAAAATATTTCTGTACCCTGAAAGTACCCCATGCCCCTGACTGGTCAGTCCTGCCCTCACTCCCAGCTCCAAATATTACCTGTGATTTTTAGCACTGATTATAGTCGAGTGTTAGGAGTATTTGGAAGCTGGGGAGCTGCCTAATATGCTTCTCATCACGCTATAGACATAGGAGCTTAGGGTAGTTTTTCTAAAAGAAATTTCGTAAATTTTGCATTTTCATAAAAATATAGTCACTCATTCAGCAAACATTTAGTTGCCAGATACCTTGCTAAATGCCAAGGGAGATATTTTGGAATGAAATGAGTGTGGTATCAGCAAGACAAGAGCTCTTATAGAAATAGGCACAGGATGTAATAGGGGCACAAACGAGAGTGATTTAGTTCTCCCTGACTTGAGGGCAGAGGCAGCAGTGGCCTCATAGAGGAGGTGATATTTGAGCTGCATTGAGGGAATGAGTTGGTGTTTGCTGGGCATTAGTGGAGTGGGAGAGTGGGAAAAGGGCATTTCAATGTGAGCAAAGGCAATGAGGAGGGAAAGAAGTTGGTGTGGGAAAGGTTTTGCTAGGCTGGAGCAAAGGCTGCAGGAGATGAAGCTAGAGTGGTAGGTGGAGAGGACTTTGCATATCATGCAACTGACTTTGGTTTATTTCTATAGCTTATTTCCATTATGTAGAATTCTAAGATTCTAAAGAGTAATCTTAAAGGTATATTTATTTATGAAGGGGATTATACTGAGATGAAATCATCAAGCAGTGTGGTTAGATGCTTAAGATTGTTTTATGATCAAATCAAAATCGTATTTCTTTGTTTTATTAAATTGTAATTTTATATTTATATTCAACTCTTCCTTTCATCTCTCTAAAATGACAGGTAGTGTGCCAATATTTGAAAAATCCTAGTGTATCTGATTCACTGCTGCTGCAGAATATTTTTCAAGCTCTGAATGTATATTACAATTATTCAGGCCAGGTGAGATGCCTGAATATATCAGAGACAGCAACCAGCAGTCTGGGAGCCCAGGGTTGGAGCTATCAGGTAAGTGTGTATAATTTTCCTAAGTGGAACTTACTTTTCACTGATACAGTTGTGCTGTAACAGAGAATTCACAAGATTTTGTCACCTAACCTGTATCCAAATCTGGGCTTTGTTACCTTATATTTTGACACCATGGATAAGTTTCCTGATTCGTTCATTCATTAAATACCAAGTCAATTTGATATTTAATCATCACCAAATATTCTGAGTATTTACCACATGTCAGGCACTGTTCTAGGCTCCAGAGATACAAAGATAAGTAAGATGTGTTCTAATCATCAACAATAGCTTGATGGGACAGATAGGTGACTAAACTAATATTACAATAGATCTCGGTAAGTCCTATAAAGTAAGCATTTTATGGACACAGAAAAGAAGGGGGGTCTAACTTGATTCTGTCTGAGCTTTTATTCCTTCATCTGTACAATGAGACTAGTAATAATAAAAGTAATACTTTCCCTTCAGAGTTGTTTTGAGGGTTAATCATGATAATACATGGGAAATAAAGCAGTTTGCAAAGAATGTGTAGCCCCAAATTCTGTTACTTCTCAGCTGAGCCTTTCTAGGAATAACGAGAGGTAGGATGACATAGACATAAAGAACAGGGGCTCTGAAGCCAGACTGCCTGAGTTCAAACCCTGGCTTTGATGCTTACGGGCTGTATAACTTTGGACAATTTATTTAACGTTTTATGCCTCTTTTTCTCATTGGAGCCTCTCCTGGTTTGCTTTTTCAGGCCTGCACAGAAATGGTTATGCCCTTTTGTTCTAATGGTATTGATGACATGTTTGAACCCCGGTCGTGGAACTTGAAGGACTATTCCGATGAATGTTTTAAACTGTGGGGTGTGAGACCTAGGCCCTCCTGGATCACTACTATGTATGGAGGCAAAAACATCAGTTCACACACAAACATCATTTTCAGGTGAAGTTTTGCTGATCCAAAGAAAACTTTGGTTGACGGAGACATTTTGTAAAATAACTGAGAAAACAGAACCAGGAGAATGCTGCACAGTTAAAACAGTATAGAATGCAGTAGTGGTATCATTTCTACTCCTTGAAAGACAGAGGATGTTGAGAAGTGATTTGATTTTATGCTCTATACCAGTGTGCTTGAAGGCTTAAAAACAATAGTAACAATATTAAAATATAAAAAAAAAATACTCTCAAACACAAAATGAAGGATCGTCTGGTGTTCTCAATTTGCCTTACTATTATTATTATTGTTATTAATGATAATACAAACTTTTCAGTATATATTCAACAAACACTTTTGAAGTACCCACTCTGTTCTGTTCCAGGCACTGTATGAGGCACTTTAAATAAACCACCTAATTCAATCCTCATAACAACCCTGGGAAGCAGTTGTTAGAGTGCCTTTTTTACTGAGGAGGAAAGTGAAGGTCACTGTGTTCAGTCACTTGCCAAAACTCATCCAGCTTTGTTTTAGTTACCAGGTGATAAAGCCAGTTTTCATCCTTGGCCTGACTGCAAAACCCATGTTTCTTCTTCTGTTTCACTGCTCCTTTTAGAAGTGCCATATTTGGTACTGGTTCACTTTGGAGTTGATTGAGTAGACTCTATATGTATCTGATTGTGACTTCAAAATTTCCATGTTTTGGCTTGAACATTAGGTTGTCAGTTATTAAAATAGCAAGGATCCTCAGTTTTCTCTTCTGTAAAATGAGAATAACAATACCACTCACCCCATAGAGTTGTTGTGATGCTTTAAAGTGTTAATCCAGTGAAGTACTTGGCCCAGACTTGGCGAATGTATTTGTTCAAAAAAATATTTGTTGAATGAATAAACATAAGTACACTCTTAGCCTTGCACTTTACCTTCAAAAGGGGACTGTCTATTTGTCCTTGAGTGTCCTTTCCCTTCCTCTTTGTTTCCTTTTCTTAAGACTCAGGAATCCTCCAAGAACCCTTCCCTGACTCCTTCAGGGAGGTTAGGTTTCTCCCACACTCTAAGCTCTCCTAAGGCCTGTGACTATTCCTTAGCACTGTGTGTGGAAATTATCTGTTTCTATCTGTCCCATGAGATTGCGAACTTCTCAAAGGCAGAGATTTGTCTTAATCATCTCTGTGCCTTTAGCACCTGCTACAGTTACTGGCACTTAATGGATACCAAATAAATGTTCGTGCTGATAAGGATAACGAATGATATAAAATTCAGGAAGTCTTCAGAGGCACGTGAAAGTTTAAAGGCAGGACTATATGAAGATGCTGGTTTATCTTTCTACAGTGGCAAGTCTACTTTTAAAAAGAAATCTTTTCCCATATGCTGCTAGGTGTGAAGAATTCAGTATAAAATATAAGTTATTTAAAAATTCAAATCTACTACTTTTCTGAAGAAAGCACATTCTCAAAGTAAAGGAGCAGCCTTAGGTGTCTCTCTTCTGTCTACTTAGTGGCTACCAGCCAGAAAACTTTTCTGGTTGATGAATAAGAAAATGTCCAAGGAACCATGTGAAAAGTGTATTTTATGTTCATATGTCTCTCCTTAAGTCACTTCACACAAATCCAACTGTGACTGCTTTTCTAGTTAAAAAATTCAATCTGTTTTTAATTGTTGGATTGGAGATTTGTCAGTTAAGAGCTTGGGCTTTCAAGTCAGGGAGACTTGAATTGGCTGCATGGCCCCAGGCAAATTGCCAATATATATGCTAGACATAATGGCAGTGTGACAGGGTTACTTCAAGAAGTAGATAGATTATCATAGAAGTGAGCACTATTAGGAGTGGCAGAGATTTTGTTCACGGTTGAATCACCTGTGCCCAATCAGTACCTTACACATAGTGGGTACTCAGTAAACATGTGTTGAATGAATGAGGACTTAATAGTAGCTATTAATAGTTCCATTTCAGCAGTTTTCTTATTTTACAGTGATTTTGTTGAAAGGATTAATTTTTTTCCCAACCCCAATTGGTAAGAAATTATCCTACCACTGGTCATTTTCAGTTATTTAAATATAAATCCAAAAAGTCCCTCAGAAGCTGGTTAGTGTAACATTATTTCTTAGGCAAATTAATTATTGCCAGCAATTAAGTGAGGCTCACTATTGGGAACTTTATCCAGGCATCTAGATTCTATCGTGATAGCCAGTTTTTTGTTTTTTTGTTTTATTTTTCCTGTAAATTTCCCAGTGACTGGTTTAGCTTTCACATGTCTAAGACCAAGAAATTCAAGTCCATGTGCATCTTAGGTCTCTCAGCAACTCCAAACACTGTTGCTAAGCCACTAGGCTGATTCAGATGACCTTTTAAATCAAATGCAGTTTGCTTATTATGTGGCTGTTGGGATAGCTTTTTTGTTTTGCAAATAATGGAGAGTTTCCTATCTGGGTTGGTCCTGTCAAATTAGAATAATGATAAAGGCCATTTGTTCATGTAAGAGAATCCAACTCCTTGTGTAGTTTACTTTAAAATTTATTTGGTAGTTGAAAGCTAAGGCTCCTATTTTGCATGTATGTTTTCCCTCTTATTTTTAACAAAACCAAAAAAAGTACATTTTTGGAGTGATTTTCTTTTCCAGTAATAATGTTATCCAGCTGCAATTGAATTAATTTTTTTAAAGAAAAATGTAGTGAAAACTTTAGTGAAAATAGAACAGGGATTTTAAACTTGTATTTCAAACACACATATATTTAATGTACCTAAATGCTTATTTCTCCTTTAATTTGTACACTTACCTAGAAAATTGATTGCATTAGTTTTCTGACCAAATTTCTGTGAGAAATGCTGTCATGTCCCTTTTCATGATTCACTTAACTCTTAGAAGTATTAACACTTTGCATGCTGGTAGAATATGATAATGATTATAATACTACTGCACATTCATGTAGTATTTTATAGTTTATACCTTACTTCCACATATATTATTCAACGTAGCCTCACAGTATCTCTGTGAGTGAGGGGCATTATCTTTTTTTAAAAATAGGTTTTGTTTTTTTTTCTTTGGTAATATATACCAGAATTGAGTTTTAGAGGGATCAGGTGACTTACTGAAAGTAATATGGCTTACTAGGGTTTAAAACTTAGATCTGCTTAGTTCATTGTTCTTGCCAGTATTACACATAGCTGAAGGTCAGTCTCTATATATTTATATTAATCACTTATATGAACTCTGCTTTTCCAGAGTACTTTAAAAAGTAATGAAGTGATTTACATGTTCCTGAACTTGCATAATGTATTTATAGATCTCTTTTGTGTAGGGCATCTGATATAAGGCAACAGACAACTAGACACTTACATTCTTTTTTCACTCATTCAGTAAATATTTGTGTGGCTCCTACTGTGTGCCAGGCATAGAGAATACAGTAATAAAACAGACAAAAATTCCTGCCTTTGGGGGAGTTCTAGTTTGAGAGATGGGTGATAAACAAGACAGCACCTATAAACATATTAGAAGTAGGTACATACTGAGGGGAAAAAACTAAACCAGGGAAGAGGGCTATGAAATGTTGGTGAGGTTAGGGGGAAGTTTGACATTTTAGATGAGGTGACTAAGGAAGACCTCACCAAGGGGCGACTTTTGAATAGTGATCTGGAGGAAGGAGCTAGCTAGTCATGAGTTTGGTGGGGTGAGAATACTCCAAACAGGGAGGTAAGCAAGGGCAAAGGCCTTGAGAGGTAGATGTCCCAGCATGTTCTCCTCCAGGTACAGTGAGAAGGTCAGTGTGGCTGGAGTGGAGTTAATGAGGGAGAGAGTAGGTGGAGATGAAATCAGAGAAGCCATAGAGGGCCCGGATCTATATAGAGACTTATAGGTCCTACATGTTTGATTTTTACTCTGAATGAAATGGGAAAACTTGGAGTGTTTTGAGCAAAGGATTGACATAATCTGATTCAGGTTTTAACAGGATCAGATTGACTGCTCTATTGATATTAGATTGCAGGGAGACAGCAAGAAGATCAGTTAAAAGGCTATTCAGGCTAGAGATAATGGTGACTTAGACCAGAGCAGTTGCACTGGAGAGGGTGAGAGGTGTTCAGATTCTGGTTATATTTGTATATACAACTGACAGGATTTGTTGACAGATTAGGTATGAAAGGGAAAGATTGAAGAATAACGGCTTTTTGGCCCAGCAGCTGGAAGGATAAGGTTGTCATTAACAGAGATTGGGAAGATAGTGGAAGGGGCTGGTTGGGAGTTGGAGAGTACCAAGAACTGTTTTGGACCTGAAAATATGAGATGTCTAGTTAGACATACATGTAAAAATGTCAAGTATATAGTTGAATTTTGGTTCTGAAGTTTAGAGGAAAGGTCCTAGCTAGAGATATTATTTGATAGTCATTTGTGTATAGCTTGTACTTATAGATGATTATGCAAATTATGGAAATAATTTCATATATCTGATAATGTAACCTTGAAGATATGTTATTTCAGGCTTTGTGATAATACCAGCAAAATGGAATGTGCATTAAACAAATGTCAGAACACATATTAAAATGTTCTGTAAGTGATTTCAGGTGATATGTAGATAAAGCTATACCAAGAGCTGCTGTACGGGGAAAGGGACCTAATACCTGCCATGGGCCAGGTACTTAAATCCAGGTATTTCAGCCCCTGTTTTATCCTGAGGAATTTAAGCTTCCAGGAAATTAGGAAGATGAGAGGCAGACCTGAGACTAGAACCCAGGATGTATGATCCCAAAGTTCATACTCTGCACCACACAAGCCAAGAGAGTAAATGCTGTTGATTTCCATGAAATGCTATGTAGTATAAAACAAGCATTAGAATAGGGTTACAGGAGTTTATATCTCAGAGGCTAGATTTGAGCTAAAGTCCTGAGTTTGTATCTTAGAGGCTTGATTTGAGTAAGCCTTCTAACTTCTCTGGGCATTAGTTTTCTCATCTATTAGAAGAATTGTAATTAAACCTACTTCACATGATTGCTATAATGGTCAAATGTGAACGGCTTTTAAACTCTAAATCAGTCTATTCATATGTGTATTGATAATGCTAGGGGAAAATTTGATTTATAATAGCATCAAGAATGAAATACTTAGGAATAAGTTTAACAGAAGTGCAAGGCATATACACTGAAAACTACAAAACTTTGTTGGAAGGAATTAAAGATCTAAATAAATGGAGACATCTCATGTTACGGAAGAAATAATATTGTTAAGATGTCAATCAATACTCTACAAATTCATCTACAGATTCCATGCAATCCCTATCAAAATCTCAGCTGACCTTTTTTTTTTTTGACAAGGTGAATGGACTTTTTTTTTTTCAAAAAAGATGTACAAATGGCGAATCAGCACAATAAGAAAATACTCAATACCATCAGTCATTTGGGAAATGCAAATCAAAACCACAGTGAGATTTCATTTCATACCTACATAGGATGATATAATAAAAAATACAGGTAGTAAGTGTTGGTGAGGATATAGAGAAAATTGGAACCCTCATATGCCGCTTGTGGAAATATAAAATAGTGTAGTCACTTTGGAAAGCAGTTTGGCAGCTTATCAAAAGGTTAAGTAAACATATATCCCAGAAATTTCATTCCTAGGTATATACCCAAAAGAAATGAAAAATTCATCCACATAAAAACTTGTACATAAACGTTTGTAGGAACAATATTCAGAATAGCCAAAAAGTGGAAACAATATAAATGATGACTGGATAATCCATATGCAATGGAATATTATTTGGAAATAAAGAGAAAAAATGTACTGATACATGCTACAACATGGATGAAACTTGAAAATATGTCAAAGTGAAAGAAGCCAATCACACACAAAGAAGACTATTGTATAATTCCATTTGTAAGAAATTTCCAAAATAGGAAAATCTATAGAGATAGAAAGTAGATGAGTGGTTATCTGAGACTGAGAGTGAGGGGATGTAGTAGAGGGAAATGAGGATTTGACTACCAATGAGTGTGGGTTTCTTTTTGGGGTGATAAAAATGTTCTAAAATTGATTGTGATGATTGGTTGCACAACTCTGAATATACTAAAAACCATTGAATTGTACAAGTTAAATGTACATTTAAATGTCCATTTTGTGGGAGATGAATTATAGCTCAACAAAGCTGTTAACAAATGTAATGCTGTCTGTGGTTGTGTTGGCTTTTTATTAAGCTAAACTAAATATCCCGTTCCAATGACTGATCCTGTTTACATCATTCCAGCATATGTTGTATAAACCAGCCAAAACTTATAACCTAATAGCATTTCCTTAATTTTAAAGCTAATGTAAAAGGAGGATCTTTGAGTAATGCCCAAATTTTCTAATTCTAGGATTAAGGGTTTTTCAGTTCTACCACCCTGTTTCCCGAAGTACTATACTAAAAGGGAAATATTGTTTAGAAAAATGCAGTGTTTTTTTTTTTTAAGAGCTAAGAGATAATTAGCATTTTTAAATATGGGAGTTTTTCTTTATCACTTTGGTAGTTGCATCCTAGGAAAGAAGGAAACTGGCTTTAATTGAGGAACTCAATTGTGCCTGACACTTACTAAATACATGTACCATCTGATTAACCTTAAAGCTACCTTGTGAGGTAGACTTTGTTAACTCCACAGATGAGAAAACTGAATCAGGTAACTTGTATAAGATTCCGGTCCCACCTTCACCACTCATTGCTTTTGAGTGATGAAGGCGGGACTGGAATTCAGTCTTCTAAATTCCAAGTCCCAGTGCAATCTAGGTTGATTCATGGTGCACCACCTTCAGTCTTCTCTGGTCCTATTCTTGTACCTGTTTGCAGAAATATTGTCAAACTCCATGATGAAGCACCTTTCTGTATGACAGATTAAGTCCTCAGATCAAACGTCTCAGGTTATGAGCTTATAATTTTAGGTGTTATGCATATAATAGGTTTCTCCTATCTTATCTGTGTATAGATATGAAAAACTAACAATCTTTTATTTTTTTTCTTTCCCTCGCTTAGCAATGGTGAACTAGACCCCTGGTCAGGAGGCGGAGTAACCAAGAATATTACAGACACCTTAGTTGCAATCGTCATCCCAGACGGGGCCCATCATCTAGATCTCCGAGCCAACAATGCCTTTGATCCCACAAGTGTGCTATTAGCCCGCTCCTTGGAAGTTAGATACATGAAGCAGTGGATCAAAGATTTCTATGCCAGTCTGGGAAAGAAACACTGAGTAACTTTTGATCACTTTTAGTTTCTTCTTTTAATTCATTCCACTCACATTTGCATTCACTTTGATTTTCTGTACATAATTACTTTCCCTTGTTTATCATTAGATTTGGTGGGGACGAAGGTTGAGATAGAAGAGAACATGATAGTGTTGACAGTAGCCATCCCACCGCCTGGGTCCTCGCCACCTTTGCACCATCTCCAGGAAGAATCTCTTCATGAAAGCTTCCCCAAAGCATCAATGGCCTACAGAACTGGAACAAAGTGTTGACTGCCTTTCACAAGAGGGAGAGTCACTTCCTTTGTTTCTCTGAAAGCAGGGATTTCTCTTGGTTTTGAAGTTGAAGTCTCTTTGACCCATTTGTCACTCCCCCCTCCTCTACCCTCCCAAAAGGAAAAGCAGAAGATGGATAAAAATGATGTAATTGCAGCTGGTAGGAAGCATATCCAATGCCAAACCAGGAAATGGGAGCCATTTCTTTTGTACTTGATTTAACGACATTTGACTATGCTGTAAATAAAGAATAGGGCTGGACCTTATACCTGTGTGTTGCTTCTGAAGCTCCCTCCAGCTGTTGGGAATGCCCTGTGCCCTGGGCTTGGCTGTTTTTGGGAAGTCCTTTAATTTTTTTCTCTTCTACTTGGCAGCTTTTCTTAGTTCTGGGATATTTGCCACTGTGGTACTGCCAGTAAGAAATTTGGCCTTTTTCTTCTCCATTTCTCTTTGTTTCTAAGGTTAGTTTTGTGGTAATTTGGTTACATTTTGCCAGTTTAGGAAATGACTGTTTTCTTTTTCTTTTTACATCTGAGCAAGCTTTTATATGCTGTGATCACTGATGATACTTCAGTAAGAAGCCTTTAAAAATGGATGAATCAGCTATTCAGAAGGTAGAATATAGTTATGTTCAGCATTTTGTTTTTTGAATTTTATTTTCTGGTGGTTGTTACTGCTGTCATTAAAGCCAGAAGTGTCAGGACACTTAAGAGGCAGGTGCACAAGAACTTTTCTGTATGGCTTCCAAAAGACAAGCTGACTAATTCATGCAGGCAGCATATTTGACGTTAATAAATGGCCAAGCCGTTTCTATTTCCAAGGGGTTGGCTTCTTTCAAGCAGTTCTTACACTGAGACCTTTCTTTAGAAGAGCTTTTCTAGGATAACAAATAGGGTTGGATCAAAACGTTTCAGGGACAGAGAGACAGACTAACAATTTCTACTCTGTTGAAAGATTTCTTTTTCCTTATTTCTTTTTATTTTCTCTCAATTTTTTTCCCTTCACTCTGCTTTGGGAACATTTCTTGCTTTTTAAAAATTGTGTCTTGAGCTTGATTATTTCTAAAGCACTTATTTATTTTTTTTTCTATAAAATGCAGATATAATGTTTATTCTTGAGTGGGAGACTGAAATATTTCCCTACTTTCCCTGGCATCTGGGAGATACAGAAAAATCTTTGTCTGGTTTCGGAAGCCCTTAGTTCTCATTGTAATGAGTTGTCCATCAAAGCATTTGGTCACTATTTTTATTTCTGCATCAGAGGAAAGTCTGCTGGGGTAGGAATTAAAGGGTCAAAACAATACTAGTTTTTTTTTCTTTGCCAACTAAGAAGTTATATAATGCTGGGTTTATGGGCTTAATGGAGGATATTCTTGCTATTTATTTTAGGCTACATTAACTTCAGGATATTTTCCTTAAAACTTTTTTTACTTAAAATCTTTAAAATACTTTGCCACTTCATTTAATATTGATTGTTTGGATAAGTTGCATTTTTGTGAAGAGAAAAATTGCCAAAAATGACTATTTTTTTGCAAGTATAATTTGGTTCTAAGTACGTGGTTTTTTTTTCTATGTACACTTCATGACAGATAGCAACCTTAACTAAAGTTGGCCTAATTATAATATATTAAAATTTAATTTTAAATTGAAAAAGAATTAGAACATCAAATAAGCCTTATTTAAATCATCTGATCTTCTAATTAATAGATGATTCTTTTGAAAGACCAGGAAAGAGAGACATAGAGAGTTGGGGGTGTTTTTATTTTTTTGTTTTTGTTACTCTAACTACCAAGAGTCAATGGGTAGAGCTAAAGAAATTTAAAGAGTTATTTCTTAAGAGATCCATAGAGTCAAAAGATTATCCCGAGGAGCCATGTCTAGTCTGGCATATTAGAGAGTTCTGAGGACGTTTCAGATGTCATACAGTCCAGCCACATCACCTGTAGGAGATGGCATTGTAGTCCAGATAGAAGGGACTTTTCTAAGGCCTCATAGCTCATTTTTAGCAGAACCAAGCTTTGAATCCAGGTTGGTTTGTTGTTGCTGTTGTTTTGTTGTTTTCTTGTTTTTACTTTATTGGTTTAGTTAGATCCTTATTTGAATTCAAGCAACAAAACCTCACCAAACGATCTTAAGCATAAGAGGGAACTTACTGAAGTTATGCAGGAATAGCTCCAGGACTTGGGTAACTGGGAATTGTGAAGGAATGGAATTGTGGTCTGGAAAGTCATTAAAAGTTAAGACTGCTACTTTCTGTTTCTCTCACTTACAACAGAGTTCACCAGTTGTCAGCCTGTAAGTAAAATTTTTTCCTCAGATATTTATAGTTTGGCTAGCAGACTAGAGTGTGTATGTGCATCAGAATTACCTGAAGGGCATGTTAGAACATTGATTGCTGAGCCCCACCCCAGAGCTTTTAATATGTCTTGGAGTGGATCCTGGAAGGTTGGACTTCTAACAGGTTTCTAGGTGATGCTGGGGGACCACATTTGAGAACCACTAGTTAAAAGAGAATTCAGATTTGAATTCCTTCAGACAGGGCATGTCCCTTCAGTTCCCCTCATTCCTTTTGTCCTACCTAATCCCATTTAAGTACGGGAACTCTGCCTAACACTTCTTTTCCCATGGCTGCTTCATCTCTGCAGACCAGCTGCTGCTTCTCTGCTTGCAGAAGGCCCATGATGTCTTCGTAGAATGGTGTCCTCAGGCCCCTGAGGCTGCATCACCTCACAAGCTCACAGCTATCTGGTAGTTAGGGAGGGACAAGTTCATAAAAACATGACTTCAGAGATACACTATTTAGGATGGAGGAAGAGCAGTTCAAACAACTCAGTACATGATCTGTCACTCAGTGTTTCTTGGAAAACAGGTGTCCAATGAAATGCTAGTTACTTATGTAATAGAAAGATCCATAGTAAAGCAAGTTTGGAAAATGATGGGTTAAACAAAGTTGAATAGTTTTTTTTTATCTGTAAATATACATTGTGACTTTCCAAAATGGTAGTCAAGAATACAGTTTTTGCTACTCTTACTCACAGAGCATCTCCAAGGCATAAGATGTTCTGGAACCTGGAGGATACAGTAGTAAAAAAGCAAACACAGTATCTGTCCTAATAAGGTTTACATACCAGTGGGAAGAAGGCATGTAATGTCAAATTATACAATGAATTGGTACAGTTGTGAGTGCTATGAAGAGTAGGGATTATTAGGACATTTAGCAGGGAATATTCTGAACCAGTCTGTAGAAGTAAGAGAATGCTTTTTTGAGATGTGACATTTTAGCTGTTATCTAAATGATAAATAGGGGCTACACCAGAAGAGGAGCAGAGAAGACGGCATGTGCAAAAGCCCTGAGTGTAGCATATTCAAGAAACTGAAAGAAGGCCTCTGTATGGGACAGCAGATGACCACAGAGGAAGTGATGTAAGATGAATCTGGAGACGTGGGCAGGAAGAAAGCTCATTCAAGTAGATGCTGATCGGGACTGATATAGGAGACCCCTACTATCATTCACCAAGTAAGAGAAAAAGAGCTTTGACTAGGGTGGTAGAGGTGAAATGAGAAGTGGATGAATTTGAGAGAGGTTGAGTAAAGAATGTCAGTGGGATTTGGTGATAGGTTCTATTTGAGATATGAGTTGGGCAAGTGTCAAAATTGATTTCTTACTTGTGCACTTGGATGGATGCCATATACTGGAAAGAAAGCCCCACAAGATTTGGCAGGAAGATTATGAGTTCAGTTCAGTTTTGTCATACTGAGTTCTATGCATTTTTGAAATAGTGAAATGGAGCTAGCTGTCAATAGGACTGTTGGATGTAAAGATCTGAAGCACAGATCTGGAGAGCCATAGTGAATAGATGGTATTTGAAATGTGGGTTGTGAGCTCAAGGAACTAGTGTTCAGGAAGTATACTTCAGGAGCTGCTCCTATACTGTATCTACCATGACAATTCTTAAGAAAACCCTAAACAACCTAATTCTCCAACAACTGTAGTACATATGACTCCTCTGAGCCCACTCACCACTTGATCCCTGGTATAGCCTTTGCTAAAATTGGGACCTACCTCCCTACACTCATTTCCCATTCTTACTGCTGTCTTTCCCTTTCCTAATACCCTGCTCTTCAGCCACACCAAACTTTCTATTACTCTGAAATACTGTTCCTCTGTCTAATATTCCTTTCTCATCACTACCCTCCAATATGTTTTCACTGGTAAACATCTATGCTTCTTTCAAAGCCCAGATCAACTTGATTATCTCCCCTGTGAAGTCTTTCTCAGTTTTCCTAAGGGAGTAGTTCTTTTATATCTATGCTCTCACAGAACAAGGTTCACACATAGCATGTCAGCTAAGATGTAAACTTCATCAGGGTAGAGATTGTCAGTCTTGTTCATTTCTGCATCTCTAGTACTTTTCAACAGTGCTTGACCACCTCTAATTTAGTACACATACCCCTAGGTGTAATATATTGCTAAATGTTCTCACCCTCTTTTTAGGAATTCCAGGCTCTCTGAAAGGAGAAACTATGTCTTATTTCTTCTAGTAATCAGCATCTAGTAATGGCATGGGGCCTGGCTGCCGATCTCAGTAGGCTCTCCATAAGTTTATAAGAATGGATACTTTCCAGGGTGGAAAGGCCAAGTTTCCCACCCATCTCTGTAGCCAAGCATCTTTCACAGCTCTGATATGTTCATGGGACCTGCCCTGGGGCTCCCTGGATTTTGAAAGGTATTTAATATCTCTAAAACTTGGACTTACTAATTTTTCCTCACTTCAACCACACATACCCTAGTTTCCCTCTTCCACTCAATCAGCCTGGCACTTTTGTCAAAGGAGCTGAAGGTAACTCTACCTTGATGTTACATGGGAATAGAACACTAAAAATCTATCCACTACTAGTGAGCCACTTTACAATGCAAGGGGATGAAGGAAGAGGATGGTTCCAATAGATTTTGCTGCCTAATAGTGGAGATAGAAGGATAGAAGCTTACAATAGCAGAGCTGGAAAGCAGTCTTGGGATCATTTAATTCTACATGTCTTTTCAACATGGCTAACATCTTTAATAAGAAGCTTAGATCTGGAGTGTGAAAGTTACTTGCCCAAAGTCATACAGCTAAATGTTTATTATTTGTTTATAATTTTTGTCATACCTGGTTCTGAAAGGATTTCAGATAATCTAAAGATAATGAGCACAGCATAAGTGGGACAGAGGAGACTTAAAGAGATAGAGATATAAAATGGATCTAGGAATGCAAACCATAAAGCAG